ACGACTGATGCTGTTAAACCAGCAGCACTCGAAGCTTTACCACTTGTATATACTGCACGAGGAATGAGATGAGCCACATATTTCAAGAATTGTGACTTGGCTGTACTGGGATCTCCTACAATACAAATATTAATGTCACCACGAATTTGAATGTGATCCTCTGTTTCTTTGTGAACTCCTCCAAAAAGCATGAGAAGAATTCCCTTTTTGATGTTCTTGTGACCGAAAATACTGGGGCAAAGCGAGACAGCAAGATTTTCATAAATATTCACATCCTTTGACATTTTAAGGATTTTTTCATATTCCTCAGCTGTACAGCGTTTCATAAATTCTTCATGTGTTTCTTGTTCGCCATTATTCGTACTCAATGATGTCGATGTTGCGCTTGAAGAATGGCCATTGTTCGTGTTGTGATCGATGGCTTCTACAGAATTGGCCAAGAACACTAATCGATAGGTCAATTCTCGAACACCCAAATCCTTAATACCTTTTACACCTTGCTTCTCAATGTCACCCTTTTTTCGACTGTTGGCATTAATGAGTTGACTTTGAGCTCCACCAAACATTTTTCCAACATCAGGCACTGCTAAAAGCGTTCCAGTGAATAGACATCGATCTCCTGCTTTGGCACATTCCACACAGTCATTCCTTAAAATGATATCCAAAGTTCTAGGCATGGATCCTGATGGTATTTCATGAGTATTTTCTTGAACTTTTAATTTTTGCCAATCCACAAATCGGGAGTGATGCATATCGAGACGCCATCTTTTGGTGTTGGTACACGTTTTGTTGACACATGAGGATGGTTCTGTATATTTGAATTGTTGAGGAATTGGATCGGAAACTGTACCACATTCCACACAATTGAAAATTCCTTCGACGAGTTCTGGACGAACTTCTGAGGATCGTGTGACCACTCCACTCACGCTTACAAGTTGACCAATGTGTACACTTCGGAGTTGACGAATTCTGATTCAATGAAATTTTTCAACAATAGCAAGACGAGAGAGGTTACATTCATCAATGAAATGTCAATAAAAGCAAAATAAATATTTTCAATAATTACAAAAATTTCACAAAATTATTCCTAAAACTCTTGAATCACAACATGAACAACTACGTACTGTAACATGTCTGGTAAATTCACAAATTTCAATTGAATGGTCGAATTATTTTCATGAGGTGAAGAAGAAGAAGAAGATGACGACCCAAAAACTACACTCTCATTCATGGCCATGCTCATCATGGATGCATTGACATCATTGGAATTTGCCAATTTCATTCTCAAAGACGATGATTGTGAATGAATCCATTCCTTATACACAATATTCAATGCCTCAGTAAGAAAAGGCTCAAACCTATAAAATTCTTGCCGTATCGTCATGGCAATATCCATATCATAATTCATGATATGACTAAAATCAATGACTACACTACGAGCGGATGGAATTGGACTCGATGATGTTCCATTATTCTCACTACTCACGCTATGAGAGGTATGAATATCAGAGAATTGAATTTTCAAACGTTCGCTGAGAGGTTCCTTTCCCGAAGGAGCAATGAGATAGGAAGAGGTGTTCGTTCCAACGAGAGCATGCCGAAGGAAATCATGAAACCATTGTTTGATTTGTTGATTGACTTGTTGTTCTCCTCCTTCAAAGAGATGGGTATCTTCCGAGGATGTTATCATGATGTTGTTGTTGATGATGATGATGGTATGAGTGTAAAATGGGAAGAATTGGAAATATTGCTGTGTGTTGTGGATGAAAGGGATGAAAGGAGTGGACTATATTGTTGCAATTTTTTGTTTTTAAATTTTTAAACCGATGGGGTTGGCGCGAAAAGTGAAAGAAGAAAAAGTCAAAGAAGAAACAACAAGAAGAATGATTTCCGCCTCTCGTGATATTGTGTCACTTCTATTGAGTGTGGCTCAGAATTTGCGTATTTTGTGACTCATCGTGGGGATATCTACGGTGCTGGTAGCAATTATTATGGAGTTCTGATTTTTCTTTGACAAGTTCCATGAGTGATGACGATGAAGGTGCCAATTCTGAAGATGAAGAAGAAGAATCATTACTCGACTTGCATGCTTTGATAAATATCGTTCCATTGCCACAAAAGGATGGAAAGTATGCTCCTCTGCATGGAGTGATAGTGCTTTCTTCATTCGAGAAGTGAATAAGGAAATTGAACGATTATTGACAGAGTTAATTTCAAATACTCAATTCTCTGACATTACCTTAATAACAACCAACTAGTAATTATTTTTCAAAAATTTCAAAAAAAATGTCATCATCGCTATCCCGAGTCACTGTTTTGAAAACTTATCGCAATATTTATCGTATTTTGAGAACGACAAGAGAATTAACAGGCAGTACGGAATCATTGAAATATTTTCAAACACAATTTAGAGAGAATAAAACGAATACGGAAATGTATAGAAAGGCTCAACTCTATGAACAATATATTACATCATTAAAAGAGTATTCGGATTTGATACAAATGTACAAGGTCGGAAAATATGAACCAACTTTACATGATTTATTGAAAAATTCAGCAGCCATGGCTGGTGTTTCTCTCACTCCGAAGGATAATAATTGATGTGATTGGATGACCTTTTAAATAACTTGTTACTTTGTTAGAAATTCTATTAAATAATATTAATTTCAAGAAAACCTCATAATACTGCTTTGATATTCGGAGGACATGTTTTGATGTGGAACGATGAGACACCATTTGTTCTTCTTGAAGGTTTACCTTCATAGTCTCAAATTGCACTGCTGTAGCAAGTGAAAGGTTTGGATGTCTTAGATGATTTCTTTCACATCATGGTTTCTAGAGATCTTGTCATTGTACAATATTGCGAAGAGTTAAGGACTCAAAGATGTATCTTTGTCACTTCCATATCCCTCGTGACGGTAATGGAGTAAGAAACATTTTGATTAAGAATTACTTCAGTCATTTATTACATTGGTACGTTGAAGAGACCTCAAGTTGTTGAAATGTTTTGTCGTATTGTTAGCCAATATTCAAAACACCATCTAATCAAACCATTGCTCTTTACTTGAAATCGACAAACAACCAGACGTTGGTGCTACTACGAGGCTCTGGCTGCGGATTTGTCAGGGCCCTCATTTACTTATTGGGATTTAAATGTGTTTAAAAGTGTTTGAATCATTTCCTTAACCTCCTTCTTCATTTCCTGAACTTCCTTTCTCACTTCCTTCTTCATTTCCTGAACTTCCTTTCTCACTTCCTCAATTTGGCTGCTATTAAGTTTCTGCAATTCCTCGAGCTTATTTGAAACCTCTTTTACCAATGAAGAAGAAGTAGATAATTCTTGAGTAGCTTTTGATACAGAATCTCCAATATTAACAGATTTCTGATCTGAATAATAATTGGTTTCTCTCTTAACTGATTTTGCTGATGAAGTGGAAGATTTGGACTTCATACTGATTGTGGACGCAACCCCTTTCCCTTCTAAAGAAACATCTTTCTGTGTTGAAGATGGAGAACCAATTGCACCATCATCTTCAGTAGTTAAATCTAACTTTGAGAGGTCCTTGCTTTTTGTTTTCACATTTATAAAAGTTTCGTGTTGCCACTTCTTTTTGTTCTCCCAATCTGCGGCTTTGAATATTTTCTGAACCGTCTGCATTTTCCAATAGCTCTTATCAGTAGCCTCTGCCAACAACCCGGACACGTTGTCGGTATCAGATAGTGACTGGGAGTGAGGATATGTATCTTTTGAAAATCTTTCAATTTCATAACCAGGACTACGAACAAACAATTGCGGATTAGTTTCAT